TCGAAAGGAATTAAAGGACGGTTTGAAACCTTTCCTTAAATCCCTGGCGTTCGCGCTCTAGCGTGTCTGGCTATTTCTCATTGTGAGAGGGGAAATGTCTTGGAATCATCGACTGAATTATGTTACCGACGAGCTTAATCTTTTGCACTCGGGCTGCAGAGGAAGGATTCCTCTCCCCTGAAACGTGAAAAGCCAATTTCAAGCGAATAGCTCAGCGTTATCTAGGTGTGCTTAGGCTTTCCGTTGTCTTACTGACTGGAGGGTTCCCCGCGGACGGCGGGGGGATGCTGGCAGGCTTCAGTGCAGGGGCAGGTGCCCTCCAGGGGGGAGGAGGAGCAGGTTTTGTCAGGGGCCAGAAACACGGCCGGAGCGGCAGGGCGCTGGGTTTGGGAGCCAGACCCGGGGGACCTTTGGGTGCTGCGGAGACGTTTGTTGGTTTAGAGCTGCTCTTGTTCTGGGTTTCCTTCTGTTCTCTGGAGTCGGGCTCCCGCAACTCCCCTCGGGTCGTTGCCCTTAAGAGAAATCGGTTTCGACCCCCTTGATCTGTGTGTGCGGGTCTGGGGAGTCATTTCAGGGGCTTCTGTCGTTAGCAGAGGGTAAGCGCCACTGGAAGATGGGGGAAGAAAACCACGGAGCTTTATTCTCAGCATCGGAACGTAAAAATAAAAAGGGGAGGGATTGATGCCAGCGCGCAAGTTGCCCGCCGTCGGGCTTGCCACGACGGCATGTACTCAGGCGGGAGGTTGTCACCACCCCGAAGCAGGCTGCTTGCAGCTCCCGGACCACGCCGGCTGGCTGAGGCGTCAGCCCTTCCTGCCCCCCCTTCCTGCCCCCCTTCCTCATCCGGAGGCGGCTATCCCGTGGCGCGTGGGCCGGGGGCACTGCTGTGGGGCACGGCCCGTCGCCGGGGCTGGGTGGTGCCTGCTCGGTGCGGGCCGCCCTGCCAAGGGCCGGGGCCGCGGCATCGGCTTATAGCGGTGCCCTCCCTTGCCTTGAAAGGCAGAGTCGGCCTTGGAGGGTCTCCCTGAAACGCGTGGGTCCTTCTGCCTGGCCGGGCAGCGCGGCGCCCGTCCCCCGGGCGGCGAGGTGGCAGCCGTGGGTGGGCGCGGGCGCGGGCGCGAGCCTCCCCTGGGTGCGCAGGCGCTGCTCCCCCCTGCCTGCAGGAGACGGGCGCTCTTCAGCGCCGGGAGATCAGCCCCTAAAAGGCGTCCTGGGTTTTGAGCTCGCGGCCCTGGAGCCCTCTGCCATCTGGCCGTTTACTGACTGTTTCATCCTCTCCCCCTTGACAGCAAAACTGCAGATGAAGCTGGGCGAATTACTGCCCCGGCTCCTCGACTGCTCCACCGAGGTCGTTGTTCTGAAAGAGCCCCCGAAGATCCGGCCCAACTCCCCCTACGACCTCTGCAGCCGCTTCGCCGCCGTGATGGAGTCCATCCACGGGGCCTCCCCCGTGACTGTGAAATAGAGCGCGGGCTCCCCGCCGCGGCCTGGCAGGCGCGCTGCGGAGCGCCCGCCCGGCGACCTCCCGCCGGGCAGGGCTTGGAAGGGAGAGGGGAGAGGAGGGGCGACCCCGAGTCACGGCTGTGTGCTCTGTAAATACGAACGAGTGAAAAGCAGGATTGCACTTTTGGGATGAGGCGGTGAGCGGCGGCGCGAAGGACCGGAACCACTGCTGTAGCCCGGCAGCGCCGTCTGCCGCGGCGTCCCCGGGCCTTCGCGGGAGGTTTCTTCTGTTCGGGCAAACGCTGCCGCACGCAGATCGCTGGGCCCGCGGCGGCGGCGGGGCGGGAGCCCGGCGCCTCCGGCCAGACGGGCTGCGAGCCGCCGCTGACCCGTCAGGCGCGTTCACGTCTTCCTGACCGGCTGCCAGGCTGTGCGCCCGGGTCTGGCCAGGCTGCCGCTAGCAGAGCCTGCGCCGTGGGAGCAGGGCGGAGCGGCGGCTCGCGCTCCCCGTCGTGTGGGCAGCCCCGCGTGCAGCTGCGGATCTCGGCCAAATCAAGCGGGCGCTCGCCTTTTGTACTTTAACCGGCGCGTGTCTTCCTCGGAGAGAGGCACGAGCTGTTGGTGGCAGTGGCAAGAGGCGGGAGGGGACGGTGACGGTCGTCTCCCGCGCAGCTGTGCGGCAGCGACTGGGCGCGGGAGATGACGCGCTGCGAGGGGTGTGCCCCTCTGGGGTGGGAGGGCAAGCTTCCCTCTCGCCTCCAGATTTTCAGGGCCCGGTTCGTGTTGATGACGACTGCGAGAGCCAGAAGCAGCTCCACTTCTGCTGGTGGGGGGGGGCGGCGGCAGGGGGTGGGTTGAATTGACTTTCTGTAAGAAGTGCGCCCCGTTTGCATTTCCTTTGGCGGGCAGTCTGTACTTGGTTTGAGCTGTTGTTTTAAACCAAATGTTCTGAGTAAGCGGAGAGGGTGGATCCAGTTTGGCAGGACTATGCAGATTTTTCTAAAAGTGCAATAAAAGCATTTGTTCTATGTTAGAATGATAAAGCTCCCTCCATGTTTTTATTTCGCTTCAGGGTTACGCCTTAAGGTTCCTTCTGGCTTCAATACAAAGAAAGGGAAGCAGGGGAAAAAGGAAAAAAAAAAAAAAAAAACAAAAAACAAAACAAAACAAACAAACAAACAAAAAAAAACAATGTTGGCAAAGTAATGCAGAAATTTTGGAGGCTTGGTGAAGCTCCCAGACGGGCAGAACGGTGCACGGGCTCATGAGCTCATCTTGGGTCTCCTGCGAAGACAGCGGAGCAGGCGGGAGCTGCTGGGACGGGAATTTCACAGAAACTGAGCAGAAAAACGGGTGAGTTGGGAGACGAGCGTAGCGAGGCTCAGAGCGGGCAGGTCCTGAGGAGACGTCGGTGCTGATTATCGGTGCCGGGGGGTTTCTGGGGCGCCTTGTTCTTGGGAGTGGAGGGTCCGTTCTGGAGCCCTTTCCGGTTTCGAGCTGCCCCGCGGGGACTCGAGGGGTTTTGGGAGAGGGAGGCAGTCTGCTGTTCCCAAGCGGGCAGCAGCAGAGATGCATTTACATCAGTGAAGAGGAGGGAAAGCCGCTCTCTTTCTGGAGCCCGAATCTCCATTTTCTTTATTAATTAGGGAATTGAAACATTTCATTACATATTGAGCTGCTTCCATCAGCCTACGTTATAATGGCAGCCTTTTCCCTGCCGCTGCTGGCCTTGCTCTGACAAAACACAGATTTCTTGTCAGCAGCAGGGAGAGGGGAGAGACACACACACGGCGAGGTTTCTTTCCCACAAACGAGACAGATGTTCCGAGGACTCGTTCCTACCACAAAATTTGTTGTAATTAGCAGAGCTGTCTGTGAAGGGAAATTGTCAGCACGGTCCCACCGTTCCGTCGGTGTGCGTTTCGCCGTTATTTAGCGATAAACCGCTCCCGTGGGAGAAGCCTGCGTTCTCCCGGTTATTTCACGGTAAAGTAGAAGCGCCGTTATCTGTAGCGACTCAAGCTGCCCGCGCCTCTTCCAGGTAACGGGCTGCTGCCGAGCCAGGGCTGCCGGCTTTTCAGCGTTCTTCCCCACCGTCGGGACGGCGAGCGGAAGGGTGAAGCCGCCAGCTGACTCCTCGGGGCGCCGAGGGAGAAGATTGAACGTGCGAGCGGAGGCCCCGGGGCCACGCCACGGCCGGCCGGGTAGCCGCTCGCTCCCCCAGCCAGCAGCCAGCAGCCAGCTCGTCGTTTCTAGGCAGCTCGGGCAAGGCCGGTGTGTCATTCCGACGTGCGGGCAGCAGGATGTGCTCTGGGGAGACAACGGCGGATTAGGAGAATCCGGTTGTTCCAAGCGTCGTGAGCCAGTAGCCTCCCCCGGTTCTTTGTGGTGCTGTCGAAAAGCGAGACCCCCCGGCCGAAGCCCAAAGCTTTCAAAACCACGGGAGCGGCGGCCTCTCCCGAGCGCAGGTCTCGGTGCCTGGAAGCTCGAGACGCTCGGCTGGGGCCGGTGGGGAGGACGAGCGTCCCGGAGCTGCAAACCTTTGCTCGGCGTCTGGGCCTCCCCTTTCCCGAGGCCGTGGGGGGCGAGTTGCGGCCCAACGGACTCTCTTTGCTTTCTGGCTTGGTCGGACCTCTCGAGGGCAGCTGACGGCGGGTGCAGGTCTTGGGAAAGCACCCTCGGCAGCCCGGAACGCCGCCCTCCTGGCCCGGCTCTTCCACCTCCCTTGATCTTCCTTAGGAAGGGCTGAGCACCCGCCTCTCCCCTCTTCACTCTGCGTGACCGGCCGTGCCCCGAGCCCGGGCCGCGCGGGCAACGCCGCGGGATGAGCTCTTTTCTCTCCCTGCCCAGCCACTCCTTTCTCTCCTCTCCAGCTGAGCAAAGTGCAGGTTTCAAAAAGGGGCTTTTGGAGGAGGGCGGACTTTGCTTCCCCCAGGAATGCCGGTGTCGGCTGCAGGCTTCCCTGAGTCCAGTCACGCGCCCGCGGCTTTTAGCCCGCAGGGATTAAACCAGCGGTGAACTCGGTTTTTAACCAGTGCTGTAGCAGCAAGCCGGCTTCTGTCAGGACTCCGGGTGTTAATCCAGCCTGATGTTCTGTGCTGCTGGCTGCACAGAGGCGCGCAAGCAGGCTTTATTTTTACAGCTGAAGCAGGAAAACGTGGGAGAAACGGTTAAGGAGACTCACAGAACACCCCTCTTGCCCCCTGGGCGCAGCCAAACGATGCAGCCAGGAGCTCTCTCCCCGAAGGTCTGTGGCAGGCTGACGGCTTTACCGTCTCAGCCGGGAGAAGATGAGGCTACTCGCGGCGGGTGCAGCCGCTGGCACCCTCCTGCCTGTGCAGCAGGAGCGGTCTTTGATACCGCCTCACGTTTTTCCTCTCCCCCTCGTTTTCCACCTTTGTCTCTTTTTTCGACCCCCCCCCCCCCAGTCATTTCTGGACAGACCCAAGCGGCGTCGGAGCGGCAGCGCTGCCCCTCCCAGCTCCCCCCCTTCCTCCCCACTCGCGCCGCGCTTCGTGCGAGGTGCAGCCGCAGGGTCAGAGCACAGGAACACGCTGCCGACGACCACGATAATTTATTGTGAACGCATCAGAGCGGTACGGACGTGCAAGGAGTGAACTGCTACGCTGGGGTGTATCCGCTCCCCACGACGCACTCGGCCACGGGGCATTCGCAGGGGAAGTTCACGCAGCACCATCAATAAGTGACTCTGCCGCACATGTCACCGGCAGCACAAAGCGCTGCCCGGTGCTCTGCCTCTGCCTCATCGCCTTCCCACGCTCTCACGGCGAGGGCCGCGGGGAAAGCTGCTGCTCCTTAAAAAAGAAAAAGTGAAGCAGACACACGGAGGAAGGAAGAAGAAAAATTATCTGCAGGGCTGCCGTAGGAATCAGCAAATCATCCTGTAACACACTCAAGAGGCGTCCCTGCAATGGGAAGAGCCAGGAGGCGCGCAGGGCACGGTGCCCCGAGGCCCTAGATGACCAGGTCTGCATTTTTGGGGTGTGGGTGGTGGCCCCCGGCCGCACCCCCCGCGCTGGGGGGCTGGCGGCAGGCGGGGGCCGGCGGCGTTGCGGTCCTGGTGGAGCGGGCGCTGCAGGCGAGGAGCAGCCCGCCGGCGGCGAGGAAGGCTCCGGCAAACCACCCCAGGAACGTGGCCTCCCCAAACTCCCACCGGGGGACGATGTCGGGGACGGTGTCATCCCAGAAGTCGAGGACCGTGTCGTAGGCGACCCAGGAGACCGGCGCCAGGGTGGCCGTCCCCGCCGTGCCGAGCGCCGCTGCCCCGGCCAGCAGCAGCCGCCGCTTTAGCCCGGGTTTGCCCTCGCAGGCTCGCCAGCCCTCCAGCCCCGGGGCGGCCAGGAGGCACCCCAGCAGCCCCAGCCCGTTGGAGAGGCACATCAGGAGCCGGGAGACGCGCAGCTCGGGGGGCAGCGCCAGGAAGGAGCCGTGGGCTCGGCACTCGACCGCTCCCTCCTCCCGGGCGATGCAGACCTGCCACAGCCCCATGGTCCAGACCTCCAGCTCGTTCAGCTCCAGGTTGAGGCTCTTCCAGAGTGGCACGAACGTGGTGACGCAGGAGGAGACCCACCCGAGGAGGGCCAGCAGCATCCCCCCCGCCTGCGCCTTCATCCGCCAGCTCCCGGCCATGCTCACGCCGCCCCGCTAACCTGCGCCCCGGGCCGAGAGGAGCCGCCCTGCGCGGCGCCCACGGGCATTAACGCTGGGGGAGCAGCAGCGTCCGTCCGGCCGCCGGCCGCGTCTGCCGCCGGGCGAGCGGATTCACGCCCGCTCCCCCGACGCCGGGGTGTGGCCACGGTCATTTTCCAGCCGTTGTTGGTTTTTCCATGCCGAAAGGAAAGCGCGCCCGGCCCGGCAGGTTAAAGCCGGGTGCATCCCCACCGCGACCTTGGGCAGGGCCCCGCCGCTGCCTCGCTCCGCCTGGCGGGGTGAAGCCGAGGCACGCAAATCCGCCGAGCCGCCGGCACCCCGAAGCGAGAGCCTTGGCAGGGAGAGCGGCGGCTCCGGCCAGGGTGGGACAGGGAGGGGACCCCGAGGCAGGTTACGGGCAGCGGAGAGCCGGCGTCTGGCTCGCCTCGGGGCGGGGTTTGCTGCATCGACCCTCATTCGGTCAGTAGATAAATACGCAGAGGAGCCTTCAAGAGCCACGTCAAGGACGGGGACATCCGAGGGGGCGGGTGGCTTTGCCCGCCGCTCGTAGGTGGGCCCTGATCGCCCTGTCCTGCCCCCGGCACCTCGGCAGGGGACACGGTTCTCGCCGCTTTACTTGCACGTAGTCTGGCCTGGGAGACGATCTGCTGCAAAAAATAAATAAATAAATAAATAAATAAAAGATGGGGGAAAAGGATGGGCTGCCTCGTCAGGAAAATCCCAACTTTGTGCTGGCGCTCGGCTCCCATCCGCCCCCGCGCGTGTCCCCTCTGCGGGGTCCAGCTTCCAGATTCATCTTCCCTGGGAGATTAGTGACTAATCTCTCCTTCATCTGCCGTCTTTCTTATCAACGGGGGTATCAGGGGCCAGGCTGGTAAATTACTGAGTCCTCCTGGCGCCGGGGGTCCAGCCCCGGGGAGCGTCGGCGGGGGGGGGACCTTCGCAGGGACGGCCGAAGGGACGGTGCGAGGGAGCACAGCCTTGGAGCATGGACTGGGTGGGAGAGGGGGGGTGTTTTCCAGCCCTCGCCAACAGGCCGGGCCCCAAGAGCAGACAGGGACCATCGTCCTGAGGGCAAGAGCCGGGAAAGCCGCTGGGAAACCCCTCCTGCTCCTTCCCCCGGGCGCCGGGGCACCCGCTCCTTCCGATTAAACCATCTCGAGGTAATTGTGCCTGTCACTGAGGCAGATTAACGGGCGACCTTCTGCCGCTGGAGCAGGATTGGTGGTGGCCGCCGCGCTCCCCATCCTTCCCTCCCACCGGCCGCGGCGGCACAGCCCGGCGGAGGATTCCCGTCCGCAACCGGCAGGAAGATGCCCGGTGGCAGCCGGGGTGGAGCGGGAGCCGCGAGCCGAGGACAACGTCTGCCTGTCCGGCAGCTGGACATGAGGTGGGTCCCTCTCGCCGGGGGCGTGCGCAGGGCTGGGGGGCCGGGGGGTCAGCCCTGAGGACCCCCCGGTCCCGCCGCGGCAGTGGCAGGAGATGCTGTGGGAGCGATCTGCTGGGGATGCTCGGCGGAGGCAGAAGGCCCACGCTCGGTCCCCGTCCCCGCCGGTCGCCGCTCTCCGGGTTGCGTTTCCAGGATCGTGACCTCCCACCGCATCTCCCCGCGGGGACGCGGCCCGTCCCGAGGAGCCCGGCGGTGGGGTCGGCGCCGCTGCCGCAGGCCACCCTTCCTCCCGCACCCAGGGGCCGCCCGTTTCTGCTCGGAGCTCCTCAGAGAACCGGCAGTTTCCAGCCACGTCGCGGGTCGAGCGCGGAGCACGGCGGCGGGAGCAGACCCGGAGCTCGCCCGCCGCCGCGGCTGCTCCCCGCCGGAGCCGGACGCCTCCCTCCCCGGCCTCGGCAATGCAATTATGGCCCCTAATGGGCTTAGCCATCTGGTGCCAGCCCGTAGCCGCCCCGGCACGGCTCGCTGGCTGGCACGTGCGCTGGAGAGGGGCCGGATTCCTCCCTCCTTCTCCAAAATAACCCCCCCCCTCCCCGCTTTCTGTGCCCCGCAGCAGGGCCGTGCACCCAGCCCGGGGCTGAGCCTCCCGGCACCGCCATGGTGCTCCCCTGCGCCCGCGACGGCAGCGGCAGCGGCTGGCTGGCACCTGAGGAGCCCCGGGGCCGCAGCAACTCCATCCCCCCGGCACAGACCCCCACCGCCAAGCACATGCTGGCCTACCTGCCCCGGCCACCCACCGACACCAGCCGCTACGGCACCTTCCCCCAGAAGGTAGGGCTGGCGCCGGGGGTCGCGGGCATCCCTCGGGCGGGAGGCCGCCGGGCGGTCGTGGCCGCCGGAGCCGCTTTCTCACCGCCGGGCTCCTCCCTCTGCCCCACAGCCCGACCTCCCGGCCGCCCCCGGGGCTCTGGCGGAGGACGGCCGGCAGCACGCGATCCCCGGCGAGCCATCCCTGCCGGCGAGCCGCGGCGGCCTGGCCGCCCAGCACCGTCCCGGCGCTCTGTCCCGGTGCCCGCCGGCCGCCCCGCGGGAGGCGGGCACCCACTGGTACCCGCTGCAGGCGCTGAGCGTGCCCGGCGTCCCCAGCCCGGCGCGCGGCAAGACCCTCGCCGCCGTCCCCGCTGCGGAGGGGCTGCCGAGCCGGCGCCGCAGGCTGCTGGAGGAGGACGGCCCCACGGCGCAGGCCGGCAAGCGGCAGCGGCAGCGCTACGTGACGAAAGTGGGCAAGTGCCAGGTGAACCTGGGCAACATCCAGGAGAAGAAGCGGTTCCTCTCGGACATCTTCACCACCATCGTGGACCTCAAGTACCGCTGGTTCCTCTTCGTCTTCATGATGTGCTACATCGTCACCTGGGTGGTCTTCGGCACCGTCTACTTCTTCGACGCCTGGGTGCGGGGCGACGTCGGGCACCGGGGCGATCCCGAGTGGCAGGCCTGCATCGAGAACGTGGACGACTTCATCTCCGCCTTGCTCTTCTCGGTGGAAAGCCAGCGGACCATCGGCTACGGCTCCCGGATGGTGACGGCCAACTGCGCCGAGGGCGTCATCCTGCTGATGGCCCAGTCCATCGTCGGCTCCATGATCGACGCCCTGATGGTGGGCTGCATGTTCGTCAAGATCTCCCGGCCCAAGAAGCGGGCCCAGACCCTCATCTTCAGCAAGAACTGCGTCATCTCCCGCCGGGACGAGAAGCTCTGCCTGATGTTTCGCGTGGGGGACCTGCGGGACAGCCACATGGTGGACGCCAAGATCCGCGCCAAGCTGATCAAGTCGCGGCAGACGGCCGAGGGGGAGTTCATCCCCCTGGAGCAGTCGGAGCTGAACCTGGGCTACGACACGGGGCAGGACCGGCTCTTCCTGGTGGAGCCCCAGATCATCTGCCACGTCATCAACCGCCGCAGCCCCTTCTGGGACATGTCGGCCGAGGCGCTGCGCCGGGACCAGTTCGAAATCATCGTCATCCTCGAGGGCATCGTGGAAGCCACAGGCGAGTGGGATGGAGGGGGGGGTCGGGGTGGGGACCGGGGGGCTCCCCGGAGGTGGGCGAGCTGGAAGCCGCCGGCTCGGCAGCGCTGGGGGCGGGGGGGGTTCGCCGCGGCGGCTCAGCCGCTGTCTCGCCGCAGGGATGACGTGCCAAGCCCGCACCTCGTACACGGAGGACGAGATCCTGTGGGGGTACCGCTTCGAGCTCTGCATGTCCCTGGAGAAAGGCGCCTTCCGGGTGGACTACAGCCGCTTCGAGATGACCTTCGAGGTGCAGACGCCGGCGGCCAGCGCCAAGGAGCTGCACGAGCGGAAGGAGCCGGAGCGGCGCGAGCACGCCGTGCTCAGCCTCTACTGGGACCAGCTCCCGCCGCCCAGCGCCGCGCCGGGCACCGGCCCCGGCGAGGACGAGCCGCCGGAGCGGGGGGCTGCCCCGTGAGCCGCTGCCGGGGGGGGCTGTGGGACGGGACGGCCGGCCCTGTCCTCCGCCAGCCGAGGGTCCCGCGCCAACAGTGCCATAGCCCACCGGCCCCCGCCCCACCGCGGGGTGAGATTTTTTCAAATTTGTGCTTTCGGGATGAGGAACACAAGGGCCGGACTGCTGGTCGTTAAAGTCTCTTAATAAAATCAAAACAAAACAAAACACACAAATAAATCAGCAGTATTCCTTTGGTCTGGGCGGCACGTGGCGGGGGCAGCTCACACCCGGTAGTGGGGGGCTGGAAGCTCAAGGTGGGGGGGACAGGACCCCAGCTCCTGCACCCCGCTCCTTTGCCTCCCCAATATCAGAGCATCTGCCCCCTGCACCAGCGGGACCCGGCGTGGGGGGCTCTGACCCCACAAATCACCCAGCTCCACCCCCCGCCCACCCGACACCCCCAAACTGCCCCCCAGTCCCACACATCGCCCCAGGACCCCCCCCCCCCCCATACGAAAATATTGCACCTGGCCAGCACTGCCTGAGGAAAGAGGCTGGGACACAGATTAATGGAGTTAAATTAATAAAATGAAATGAAATTAATGATATTAATAGAATTAAAGTACTAGTGTCGGGCGGGCCAGTAGCTGTTCCTGCAGAGGGGGTGCCCCAGCTGCATGGGGGGCACCTGGGGAGGGGGGGTCTCCCACACTCCAGCCCCTCCACCCCCCACCCCCGCCACAGTGGGGTGTGACTCATCCCTCCCACCCACGCCACTAATTACTAATCACAGCAATCACAGTTCTGCCCGGGTGTGGCTGTGTCAGTGTCCCGGGGGGGTGCGGAGGGGCTCGGCGCGGGGTTGGATTGCGGGGGGGGGGGACACCCTTATCCCCCCAGCAGCCCCGCTCCCCCCTCCCAGTGCCGCGCTGGGCAAGCGACAACGAAATCCCTTTGGGTTCCTTGGCTGCTGCGCGCGTCCTTTGCTTTATTGTCATTATTAAAGGTGCTCTTTGGCTCGACCCAGGTGTTCCCGTTTAGGTCATTTTTTTTTTTCAACCTGCCCCCCCCCCCCCCGTTACCCCGCTGAGGAGGGGAGCGGCCGGGCGGGCACCGGGGGCCAGGGCACCCCACCACTGCGGGTGTATGCAGCTGGATATGTTTAGATAGATAGATATACACACACAAACACGTATGTGCATGCATATATATGTATATGCATGTATGTCTATAGATATTAAAATAAACCACCACCACCAAGAAAAAAAACAAAACAAAACAAAACAACATCCAAAAAAAAAAAAAACCTAAACCAAAAACCACTGAAAACCAACAAAGTTACTGCAGTGATCTGGGCTGAAGAGCCCTAGAACAGCAGTTTCTGTGGGGCCCGGGCCCCGGGTGCAAAGCCACGCACTCATGCGGAGCCCAGGCACCAGTTTGTGCCCCAGTTGTGTAAAAAGGGGGGTTTTTTTGTTGTTTTTGTTTTGGTTTTTTTTTTGGGGGGGGGGGGGGGGGAAGCAGGGTGTGTGTGCGTGTGTAATAATTCCACAGATCCTGAGCTTGCTGCAGCCCGGGATGCCGGCTGCCCCCCCACTGCCCCCTCAGCCCACACGTGCACCCCCCCCACCCCCCCCAGGGCTCATTAGCCCAAATTTTGCCACAGACACCTCCCCCCCCCCCCCCCCCCCAGGCCCCACTGCTGGCTGTGCGGGGGGGGGGATGTGTTTGCGAGCACACGCACATGTATATAAAGCTGTTTTCTCACATATAGATCTACAGCTAGAATTGCACCCACATTCACAAAATTAAAAAAAACAAAAACAACCTGTTTTACTATCGTTATGCAGCTGCAAACAGGTGTTTGCATTATGCAAATGACGCGCGCGCCATCAGGCATATCAATTATATAATAATTAGCTGTTTGCCTATCGATTAGCCGATTTGCATATTGAGATGAAGATTTGCATATTTATTGGGTGATTTGCATATCGGCCGCCCGCTCGCGGCACTCGCTCCTCCGCGCCGCCAGGGGGCGCTGCCGCCCGCCCCGCGCCCGGGGCCGTTCTTCAGCCGCTCCCGCCTCCTCGCCCCCCCGGCTTCCGGCGCGGGGCGGTGACGTCTGCGGCGGAGCGCCGCGCTGACGGGGACCGCCGGGCCCGGGAACCGGTGAGCGCTGGGACGGGCCTTCGCCCGCCCCTCCCCGAGCGGGCCGCGCCGCCGCCGCGCCCGGGGCCCTGTGTGTGCGCCGGGGCGGGCCCTGACGGCGCCTCTCCCCGCAGCCCAGCCCCGGCCCCCGCATGGCGCGGCGCTGAGGGGCGATGACCGACCAGGAGAACAACAACAGCATCTCCAGCAACCCCTTCGCCGCCCTCTTCGGCTCCGTCGCCGCCGCCAAGCACTTCGCCGCCGTGCAGAAGCAGCAGCAGCTACGGCAGCTGGCAGGTGGGCGGCCGCGGGCCCGGCGGCGGGGCCGGGGCTCACCCCCCGCCCGGGCGCTGACGGGCTCTCGTTCGGCAGGCGACGAGGCCTCGGTCAGCCAGGATGACTCCGACAACAGCGTCTCCGAGAGCCTGGACGACTGCGACTACTCGGTGGCGGAGATCAGCCGCTCCTTCCGCTCGCAGCGGGAGCTCTGCGAGCAGCTCAACATCAACCACATGATCCAGAGGATCTTCCTCATCACCCTCGACAACAGTGAGCGCTGGGAGCGCGGCTGGGGGGCCGCTGCCGGCTGGGGGGGCTCGGCTGCACCCGGCAGAGCCGCCCGGGTCCCTCGGGAAGCAGAGGGGGGAGCAGGGGGAGGGGGAGTGCGCCTCAGTTCCGCCACCGCCTTCTCCCCCGCGGTTTTGGGGTGAAACGGGCGGCTCCGTGCCTTCCGCAGGCGACCCCAGCATGAAGAGCGGGAACGGCATCCCGGCGCGCTGTGTCTACCTGGAAGAAATGGCCGCGGACCTGGACGACCAGGACTGGCTGGACATGGACAACGTCGAGCAGGTAGGGCCGCCGGCCTCGCCTGCGCCGGCGACAGGGGTTCAGTTTATTTCCTCAGGGTGCGTCCTGAGTGCTCTCCATTCGCCCCAGCCGAGCACGGAGCTGCCGGTGGTGGCTTGGCTGGAAACGGCCACGGGGGTTTCGGGGTGCGGTTCAGAATTCACTGCTGGGAGCTCCCCTGCCTGAGGGCTGAGGGAGTTTGCTGCCCCGCAGACTGGCTGGGGCTGGGGAGGGGTACCCGTTCGGCTTGGCTGGGGTGGGAAGGGGGGACTTGTGTCCGGTTGCGGGAGGCAGGCGCTGCTGGCTGTGGGGCACCTGCCAGGCAAAACTGTAATCCGCGTTCCTGTGCGCCCTCAGCTGCTTCTGCAGACGCGGCGGTCGTTCCTGTCAGTTTTTTTCCAGCGAAAATAACTTCTGTTGGGCTTGCAGTTGCTCTTTAAGGGGACTGGAGATTTGGCTTAGCCAAGGAGCAAGCCTGTGAGGGTTCTCAGTCTAGCGCTCCACTACCTCACGGAGAGCTGGAGAGAGCTCTTCCGAGCACAGATAATTCAGCCAGCAGTGACATGGGGCTTCTTTTTGCAGAGGGATCGTGTCTCTGCCGGGGTGGTTTCACTTTCCTTCTGTCTTTGCTGGTGCCTAGGCCCTGTTCACCCGCTTGCTGCTGCAGGAGCCTGGAAACCACCTGATTTACATGACCTCTGCCAGCACACAGAACCTCTCCGCCGACCGGGACGCGGGGGAGAGACAGATTCTGCGCTACCTCTACGCCTGTTTCCAGAGGGCGAGAGAAGAGGTGGGCAGGAGCTTCTGAGAAGGAAGGCAGCTTTATCACCCAGTTCTCTGGTTGGAGGTGACCGAGCAGGGGTTTTACCGGCCTGAGGCGAATGCCGAGGCCCTGACTCTGTCTCCTTCTCCTTGCGCAGATAACCAAGGTCCCGGAGAACCTGCTGCCCTTTGCCGTGCGCTGCCGGAACCTGACCGTGTCCAACACTCGCACCGTCCTCCTCACCCCAGAGATTTACGTCAACCAGAACGTGTACGAGCAGCTGGTGGACCTGCTGCTGGAGGCGCTGAGAGGGGCGCGTAAGTCTGGCCGGGTCGAGCCGCTGGCTGCCTGCCGCGAGGCCGCCCTTCGCGTTTTGGCTTGCGGGAGGAGCGCCGCAGGGGCGGGTGAAGCTTTGGCTCCCCTCGTTGCTAAAAGGGAGGGCTGCGTTTCGATCTCTAGCGCGTGTACACGCACTGAGGGTTGGCCGCTTGGAACGTCCTAACAGCCTTGCTTCCCCCCGCTAGACTTTGAAGACACGACCGAGTTTCTGGAGGAGGTCATAGAAGCCTTAACGATGGACGAGGAGGTGCGGACGTTCGGGGAGGTCATGGTGCCCGTGTTTGATATCCTCTTGGGCAGAATCAAGGACCTGGACCTCTGCCAGATCCTGCTGTACACGTACCTCGATGTGCTGCTCTACTTCACGAAGCAGAAGGACATCGCAAAGGTGGGCGTCGTGCCCTGACCAAGAGCACGTTTATAGCACCCGGTGTGTTGAGGTCAAACCAACGTACGGTGCGGTAGCACCTTGCGTGTGTGCTTTTGGCCGTCTCCTCCTTTCTGGTAGCCTGTCCCAAACCCCTAAGTACAGTTTCCATCTTCTACTGGGATTTTACACAACTGTCAGCGTGTCCCTCTGCGCTCCTTAGGTTTTTGCAGGCTACATCCAGCCCAAGGATCCCAGCAATGGACAGATGTACCAGAAGACTTTGCTAGGTGCCATTCTAAACATCTCCTGCTTGTTGAAGACCCCTGGCGTAGTGGAGAACCATGGCTATTTCCTGAATCCCTCCCGATCCAGCCCGCAAGAGATCAAAGTGCAAGAATCCAACATCCATCAGGTGGGCTGAAGCGTGGCTACTTCCCCGGGTGCTTCAGTGGCCTCTCGTTGCCTGCGGGTTGAAGACACGATGTCAGATCCCCCACTAGCTCCTTAATGATCTGGCTCGTGACCAAGCGAGTCACAAAACCGCTTTGGATTCCCAGCTGTAACACGTGAACGGTTTTGCCCCCTTCCTTGGGTTGTTGCAACCCAAGGCCTCGTGTCAAGCGAGTCGTGTTTTCTCAAGGTAGTTGTCTGAGCTTTGGGAAAAGGTCGGACGGTTCTTCCGGAACACGTACCGGCACCACAACTTGAGGTGCTGCGTGAAGGTAATTTACCTTAGGCGCTGTAATCACTGGGAAATGGTTCTC